TTTTTACTAATTTTATTATTTTTTTTTCAGTTTTTTTTACCTTTTAGTTGTTTTGCCAGTTTTGCCAGTTTTGCCATTTTGCCATTTTGCCATTTTAAATTTTTTTTTGGCAAAAGTCGAAACTAGTTTTGACTTTTGCCAATGGCAAAACTTCTAGGTTTTGCTAACAACACTACACGTAAGTATTTTATAAATTTCTCTTCACGACTACTAAGAAAAAACCAATTTTAAATTAATTAGCTACACGTACTATAATTTGCATGCTTTTTATCCTGTATACAATAAAAACTATATAAACCATTGTCTTTCACCCAAATTACCTTGCTAAAATGTCTCATTCAAATGTTTTTACCTTTTATTATACAACGAATGAAATTTTGGGCATAACAGGTTAGTACAGTCAGGTATTTTACGCGATATAGAAATTATCTGCAATATACTAAAAGGTTATTCTAAAACCGATTTCTATTTAAAAAAAAAGCATTTTTTATTATCTAAAAATGACAATCAGTTTTAAAAAACCTTTAAAATTTTCTTGCAAAAGTATTCTGTGAACATGTAGTCTAGGAATCCGTGGGATCCCTGGGGCTTTAGAAGGGGTTGCCAAATAAAGAGAAATGATCTGCGTCACACGAATTTGAAAAATCCCTAACTGTATTATTATTAAATTTCTTATAACTTCGGTAAGCAAATCGTACTATGAAAGTTGGTGGACGTGTTGTAGGGCAGAGCAAAAGCGTCAAGTTACCAAGGGTTAAAGTACCTGAGCTTCCAAAAAAAGTATTGTAAAACGTATAAAAAAAATATCTATCAATTGAAAATCTCGTGCAACATTGACGGTCCTACCTCGACCGTAACAGTAACTATACCTGCCGGACAAATCTCAAACTAAAAAATTAATACCTTTACAAAATATTAAAACAAAAAATGTCCTCGATATTTTGCAAATACACATAGCTATGAAAATATATATTATGTGTTTAAATAAAGATTATGATTAATTAAGTTTTTGAGATATTAGTTTGGGAGGGCGTGGACAAACCCAATGTATTTAACCATAATTGGTCGTATGTCGTAAAATTTTTTACCACATCATTAGCGTTAGACACGCAAAAAGCTATGAGATTGCAAGGAAATTGTTTTGATCATCATATCGATATGAATTGCCATAAATAGATATCTGGATATAGGCTATTTACACATGAATACATGGCCACATATCGATATATAGTACGTAGTCAAAATTTAATATTGCTTAAACCTCACAAAGTATAACACGGTTACACAAAAACATATGCAAAAAGCATACGTAAAAATTTATACAAAAAGCATAATACTTTGTAACCGTGCTATACTTTGTACGTCCTTATTTTTTTCCTTTTTCTTATTTTGTGGTTTATTATTGAGTTATTATTGGATAACTTATTTCAATAAATTTTTATTACGCTATTTCTTGCTAAAAATCCGTCATTACAAATTTCAGCTCCAAAGCATTGTTTATAACTCATACTTTTTTTTTTTTTATTAAAAAAAAACCACTTATTTTCAATTATACAAGATTACTTTCTCTCGTATATTTACTATCAGAATATTCAATTTTGTTCACTATCAGAGTTCAACCAACATTTTCTCAAATTCGTTAATTTGATTCCGGCTCTTGGCGTTTTCAGCTTTCTGACTTTGGAAAGAATTCCGGCTGCAAACAATACTTGAATTTCCCTTTCAGACATACAAATATACGTCAAAAAAAGTATTTATATAGAAGGTTGTGTTCACTATAATATATACAATATTTCGTAGTTAGTGAGATGTCACTTTTATCTCTGTTGGACAATCCTAGTATTTACGCATAATTTTTTATTTGGTGAATAATATCCTAGTTGCTTATCGGAAAGTTATTAAAAAATTGGAATAGTAAAAAATAACCTAATTTGTTGAAATTTTCGGATTAGCAAGTAACTACGTGTAAATGTAATTTTTCTAGCAAAAAATCATCCCTTTGGTAAATAATAACAATTTAAATAATATGGTAAAGGCTCAGGATTGGTTAGATCAAACTTATCCAAAAGAAGGTCGAAATGAGATTATATTAATAGAGAATGATGATACTAAAAAATTATGTGGAAAATTAATATTGGACGATTTTTTTAAACTTGTAGAATTGGATTTGTCTCATCATAACATAACTAAATTAGATGTAAGCGATTGTTATGACTTAGAAAAAATAATTTTTGCGCATAATAGTCTTACTAGATTATTAAATTATCCCAGAGATTTTGTCAATCCTGAAAAATTAAATTATTTAAATATAATGAATAATAATATCACTAAAATTGATTTAGGCTTCTTCAACAGATTTATCAATTTAGAAACTTTATTTATAGGAACTGATGATAGAGAAAAAATAGAGCAAGGTTTTTATAATCGTTTTTATGGTCATCTAAGATCTATAAAGAATTTGACTAAATTAGAGGCTCTGGACATTTGTAGCACTGATGTTAGTAAAGGCTTAATTCACTTACCGGATAGTTTAAAAGAATTTTTTTATGAGGTTTATCGCCCTGAAGCCAAGGTAGCGAAAATCAAAAGGAAACTTGAGCCATTTGAAGGGAATGTTAAGAAATATAAGGAAGATAAATTAAGAAAAGGTTCAAATAAAAAATTAGCAGAACATATTGAGTTAGAAGAAGTTCAGGAACAAACGGTGGAAATTAAAAATTTGTTAATAGTAGGACGCACTGGTAATGGTAAATCTGCACTTGCGAATGTAGTGAGTGGCTCAAATAGGTTTAAAGAAAGTGACAAATCAGTTAGTGAGACTAGATACTTCCTAGACGAAATATTTACACATAATGGAGAAATATATCGAGTAGTTGATACAATAGGAATGGGAGACACTAGATTATCTAAAAATCAAGTCTTACTAAGAAAAGCTGAAGCCGTCTATACTATGAAAGAAGGAATAAATCAAATTTTGTTTGTTGTAGGAAGAAGATTCACTAAAGAAGAAATAGAAGCTTTTGAGCTACTGAAAAAAGTTATTTTCGAAAGTAATATCATCAAGCATACTACTATAATAAGAACTAATTTTACTAATTTCAGAAATCCTGATAAATGTAAAGTTGATCGTCAAGAATTAGTTGAAGAAAATAAATTTCTTGCTGAAATAATAAATTCATGCAATGGAATTATTTACGTTGATAATCCTCCCATTGAAATTGAGTGTGAACGACGGTTGCTTTTGAACAAAGAAGATAGAGAAATTTCAAGACATAGGATACTAACTCATTTAGAGGGTTTTCAAGGAAACTACAAACCATATTTGAAAACTTGGGATCAGCTTTATCTAAAGATTCGTAACTACATGAAAATAAAACATGATCTAGAAGAAGCATTACAAAGCTCAAATATTTCTTCTGAGGAGATCAATAAGTTAAAAGCAAAAATAGAAAAATTAGAAGCGAAAGTTGTTGGAGTAACAGAACTACGGTGTGATGTAGAAATACCTTTTTTCGCTAAAATAAAAGTAAATTTTAGAAGCTTGAATGGTATGTGCCAAATAATTTAAAATTGTAAATTTTATCACAATTTTCAAATTAATGACTACATGAGAATTGGTAATCTATAATTTAGAATATAACATTAAAAATACAACTTAATATTAGCTTTTTTGGTTAAAATTTGAATATCTTTGTTACTTTATACTATATTTATTATTATTGTAAGTTGAAAAATTAATGTAATTTTTATTATATCCTGATTTTTATTATTATTTTAAAATAAACATTATATGTAATACGTATTAATAACTTACAAAGTGTTACATTTAGAAATGCCATCTTTGGTTGGAGCTTCATATTTAGGTAATACAGTGCAAAATCAACAAACTCTTTTTTCGACCTATCACAGAAGGTTTGGAGTTTAGGCTACGTAATGGCCACACAAAATCACATGGTACTTTTTTTTATAGTACGTACGTTAGGGATGGTAAAAAAACGGTTTAAACAGTTTTTTAAACATTTTTTATTGTTTTAAAACTTTTTTTAAAACATCGA